GTGTTGTGTTGTGTTCTGTGTTTTGTTTTGTTTTGTTTTTGGACACGCATGAAGCAGACGGCCACTTTTCAGCCGCCTTGGAACAGAGGAAGAATAAACTCTGCTTTTCTGGCAGTAGAAAAGTAGGAAAATACGTCACAACTAATTGTTCATTTAGGTAGCATAAAATTGGAAAATATATAATTTACAAAGACGTAAAATCTACTTTTCAACTATTTCATTTGCAAAGAAGCGTGTGTCTCACTTTTCGTCCTCCACACTTGGTTATTCTATTTTATCTGAATGAATCATTTGAACTTAATTGGTAATAAGAAAAGGGGAAGGTCAAGATGTACGAGGAAAAGCATGTGCTGGCACTGTAACGCGTCTGTGTATACTTCACGCAGAAATCCTTCAACAGGGACTGCGTGCTGGCTGAACAAGTTACCTGGACTTCTCAGCCTCTTCGAGTTGAACGCCAGCAATGCCGATCGCTGCATATACTCTCTTTGCCATTCAAGCCGTTGCCTCTACTAAAGGCTTCTTCTATGGCCTGTACAGAATCACCGTGCTGTGCTGTGGCCAATTTGACTTGTAGGTATCCATTTCTAATGATAATTATTTTGTTTCAGCAATATCTATTCCTGTAGCGAAACAAAAAGTTTCCACCCTAATGCAAAGGCGTGACGTGACGATTACAAGCACAAAAAAATCTTTCCATCGGGAATTGCTCAGTTAAAACATCTTTGCCTAACGGCTATTTTGAGTTGTCAGCCAATCCCTGCTCTGGGTTCAACTATGGTCGGAGGTCATATAATATGCTTGAAACACAATGTCAGCCACAAAAACGCCCAACCGCTGACTACAAAACTTATGAGTGACTGGTTCCATCTGGCTCTTTAGTTTACCCCACATTTTTAAAGATGAGAATAGGCAGAAATGTTTAGGTTAAAAAAGAACATGGAATGCAGTGAGCTCAGTTTAAACAAGTATTTATCGGACGGAACCGCCGTTAGTTTTTAATTAACCTTCCCATGAAGATTAGAATTTCGCGTTCTACAGACACATTTGCTACAATGTTTCATTGGGATTTGAATCTTTGAGCCATCATGAAGTGTTTGAGTTCCTCTGCAGGACAGCAGAGCGATTTAAGCACCACATTATTACACAGCTCCGTACATGGTGTACTTATGGTGTACTATTTACGACACACATTTCTTCTTGCCATTACTTTTGTACACACACGTCGTGTGTCGCGTCGTGCCGTCGCCCGTCGCGTCTTGCTGCCTTAGGTCCTTTCCATGTTGCATTTTTTGCCACCAACACGTCGCCCCTTCCTTCGCCCGTCGCGTCGTGCTGTCGTGCGTCGCGTGGTACGTCGTGTCGTGCATTGCGTCGCCTGAAGCACGACGCAACAAACGACGCGTCGTGTGTGTGCAAACAAAATGGCAACAAGGCGACGGTTCGACCCGACGGCACGACGCAAGGGAGCCCTCGTGCCGTCGCGTCGTCTGGTTGCGTCGCCTGGAGAGAGGCTAAATGAAGATAGAAATGTTTGTCGTAAATAGTACACCATAACACAGATGGAAGGGGCGACGTTTAGGCGGAAATACATGGACGGGACCTAAGACAGCACGACGCGATCGACGCCCGACGTGACGTGTCGTGTGTGTACAAACGTAATGTATGGTGTTCTATTCCCGCCATTTTGGCGTCGCGTCGTACCGTTGCTCCGACGCGACGGCACGACGTCGCGTCGTGCCGTCGCCTCCTTTCTTATTGAGTTCATACTAAGCTAATTTCGTCGCGTCGTGCCGTCGCGTCGTGCTATATTTCTTGTTAATGTCGCATCGTGCCGGCGCGTCGTGCCGTCGTATCGTGCCCTCGTGGCGTCGCGTCTTGCCGTCGTGGCGTCGCGTCGTGCCGTCGTGTCGCCCGCCATTGCATGTTTTTATACATTGTGGATTAGGCCGTCGCGTCGTGCCGTCGTGCTGTCGTGCTGTCGTGCCGTTGCGTCGTGCCGTCGTACCGTCGTGTCGTACCGTCGCATCTTGCCGTCGTGCCATCGCG